CCCCCCCCCCCCCCCCCCCCCCGCAGATCCTGTTCCTCATCCCTCCTCTTGGAACCCATGGCCTGCTCCTGCTATCCCACAGGGTTTTCCCCAGGTGGCAACTCTGTTTGTTATGCCACTGGCTAGAGGACTGTCATATTACATGGTACAATTAATGCCACTTGGCTTATTCTGCACACACAGGCTAGGTACATTCAAAAAGCTGGAGGCAGATTTAAACTAACACAGGTTTCTCTGAGTGGACTAGATTAGTTTGGGAGTGAACAGAATGCAAGTTTGGCCTTTCATGGTGGAAGGGAGCACAAAGGCTGCCTGCACTGGAGAAGGCCAGCACATTGGGAGTGCTTTTGCATGCCTCCCAGCATGCCAGAGACTGCTGAGGAGAGCCACATGCAGCTGAGTGGTTTGTCCACCCTGACTGGCTGTCAGGCTTATGCCCCCAGTCCTCTTCCAGAAGAGCCCCAGAGTGGGTCACCATGGCAAGTCAGGCCACTCAGCTGGTGGGGGGTGGGGGATATGCCATGGTGACCTGCTCTGGGGCTCTCCTGGAAGGGGGTTGAGAATGTGTACCCAGCAGTCAATCAAGTGGTCCAGCATCTCTGCAGAAAGCAGGATCGAGCCCCCTGCAATTCCAGCTAGCAACAGACCCCTGGCATGACTGCAGGGATTGTGCCGGGTGCCTGCTGCTGCCGCCTCTGATTCACTGGAGCTCTGTGGGGCCTGATCCTTCTGTGGAGTGCCCCCTCCCCCTGGGACATTGTGTAAAGATACTCTCTTCTTCTCCCTCCACCCACTCCCCTGTGGCTGACAACTCGCTGCAGGTAGGAGCCAGGACTGGGGACAGAAGCTTTGCTGGCTGGCGCTGTATCAGCCCAGGGTGGGGCTAACTGCATGCTCAGCCGAAGCGGTGGAGCCTGATGGAGTTCCAGTGGGCCTCCCCACAAGGGGGGCTAACAGGGACCACAAAGGAGCCTGGGACGCTGGCAGACAGTGACCAAACATGAGTTGATAGGGCTTCTGGTACAGAAGGTCATTAGACCAGTCTAGCCTAAACTAAGTCAGTCTGATACATCATCAACCTGGTCTATTTTAGATCAGATTCTGCCATTTTTAAACTAGTTTGTGCCTTGAACTTCCGTTCCATTACAAGTACAGACCAGTTTCCAATCACTTATACCAGTTTATGTGGAATGTCTATACCTAGCCTATTTTTCTACATGCCCATATCTAAACTATTGCGCAGGGTATTGTGGATGTTGTTTTTGCGTATAAGCTAGTTTTAAGAAATGCTCACGACTCATAGCAATAACAAGAAAATCAAATCTTGTTGTTTTTCACTGAAAATTGATAACAAAATCAATAAAAGCCTGCTTGTATTATAATCCTTGGTCGTGGGGAATTAAGTTGGCTATTTGATAGCCAGCTGAAATGCCAATGATGCCTTTTCTAAATAGAAAATAAATGAGGTTAGAAAAGTCTGTATGGATGCATATAGGGGGGTACAGTTGTAGTTATTTTGTTCATTTGTGGTGCGTTTGGTGGGTTTTTTTCTATCCCTTTTAATTGAATTGGTGTTTGATGATTATTTTTTTTTTTTTTTTTTTAGCATG